ATCAGCATGGCATGGTGGCCCTAAGGAGCAACGGTGATCAGCATGGCATGGTGGCCCTAAGGAGCATAAATGGCATGTTAAGGGATAGTTAAGTCATGGTTATTAAGACCAGCACTTTTCTAAAACAGAAACATACTTAACTACTAAGTATTATTTTAAGTGTTATTTTTACCCCTCAAGAAGGAAACTTCTCTTTGCAACAAATGGAGACCATTACAGAAAACCACAACTAATCCAAATGCAGTTGTAGAGCCCATTCCCAACTGATACATCTATAAGACAACTCGTGCACCTAAGGATCAGGAACCATTGCATGAGAGAGGACAGAAAGATTGTAAGAGCCAGAGGAACAGAGAGTCTGCTGTGAGACTGTGACTCCTACAAATTTAGAAGTTATAGCCATAAAGTCTCGCCAACATGAATGCCTAAACATAAGCAGACTAAGGATAACACCAACAGACATGCTGACGTGAACAGAGGAAATCCCAAGGCCTCAACTCTAGACAAAGAACTCTAGGTAATTAAGAATGCTGATTGGGAAGAGCATAATTAATTATCAAATATCAAGTGGTCCTTCCTGGAAACATACAAGTAACACTATACGGACTGAGCAGGTTACATTTATAGATTTAGAAATAGACATACACACATATACATATGGAACAATAATTTTAAAAAGAGGCATACTTAGACTCAATATGTAGGCCATCATTGTAGAAAGACATAATGAGCTTAGCTGTGCTATGAAAGGATTAGCTAAGTTTTTGTGCTGATAGACATGGTATTCAAGCTTGGCCAAAACTATGCTCACTTCAGCTTTCTGGTAGTACAGATAGCTGTATCAATCCTCTACATCAGTTCTCCCTATCTTTGTTAACGTTAGTCCTAAATTTTGAATAATGCATGGATAACACAGTTTTTTCCCTTGGGAGTTGGTGTAGGACCAGGCAAATGGAATATGAACTGGAGTGTATGTACCTTTCCTAGATTTCTCCTTTCTTAGGAAGCAAAGCAGAGAATGCATAATGGAATAAGTACCTTAACCCTGGAGTTGATGCCATGCCTTGAAGATGGACTTTGCCCACAGTTCTGGACAGCTTTCATTTGAATTATTATACAATAAATAATTTTGAGTATTTTATAAGTATGTTTTCTTAGTTTTGGATACTATAATTACAATATTATGCCCTTTCCTTTCCTCCCTTCAAACTCTCCCATATACTCTCCCTTGCTCTTTCAAATCCATGGCCTGCTTTTCATTAATAGTTGTTACATGCATATATGTATATGTGTATACATATACACTCCTAGAAATAACCTGCTCAGTCTGAATAACATTACTTATATCTGTACTTTCAGACCTGGCCATTTGGTATTGGATAAAATAAATATTTTGATCAAAATTGCTGAATTCTCTCTTATGGCATTTTAATCTGTACCCTAATTGATTTATCACTTAAAGTAGAAACAAAAAGTATTATACAAAAGAATATATGAGTCTTTTGAAATGAAAACAAAGACTAAGCTCTGGCTTCTGTACTTGTTCATGCTGGTGAACCTGAAATTCAGCACTCAGTGAACTGACATATCATAAGGTTCCTGCCAGGCCAAGAGGAAACAGTCATATTAATCCAGAGAAGAACAATGAGCTCCTAAAACCCTGTGCTTTACTATGAAAGGCTGTTCCTGAGGGACCATAGAGGCCAACACTTTATTTTCCCTGTATGTAAGCCTAGAATAGGCCTTATTTCCCTGACCAATGAACTAGGACTGTCATGTCAATCTCTTCAAGTGCACCTGTTTCTTTTCTTTATAACATCTGTCTATATCTATAATACTAGACGAGTCTTTGTCTAAGTAATGTGTGTCTTTAAAGTGATATCTGTGTTTTCTTACTCACCACTGTATTATCGGCTCTCAGCATAAGCGTACACAGTACATGCTTGATAAATACATGCTGAGCCAATGAATGCCTCAAAGAGAACACATGAAGTGAGCAAAACAACCTGTATCAGGCATGATTTTGCCTTAACTACAGGTTACTCAAACAGAGCATCGGCAGTGGACGTCAGGATCATAATTCACTTCAAGGTTCAGCAAGTCCTTCTGATACGAGCACAGTTAAAACAGTTCAGAGGACAATGTGCTCAGTATTACATACCACAACACTGTCGTGAGCATGGGAGAGTCATCAGGATTACATACCACAACACTGTCGTGAGCATGGGAGAGTCAAGGCTTTATAGGACTAGAATAAATGGAAGACAACTTTAAAGGATGCAAATGAAAGTTTGCCATTTCTTTACCACCCCTCATTAACAGTGAGGAAACAGAAAAGCATGCTGCTAATATGGCACATGGGGAGAGTGCTAGAGACAGAGTTGACATCTTTTAAAATGAAAGGCTAGAGAAAGCCCATGGAATTCACGAGCTCTTACAACCACTAAAAGTAGCAACAGTAAATTAACTTTACAAATGACAAAATAGAGAGATATGAACAGGAGAGTCTCGAAAGCTTTGGCTAGCTCTTATTCAAGTGAGAGTAAAGATTTTTGAAATATTCACAAGCACATCTAAAGTTGGGGGTGTATTTGTTTTTGCCTTTTCTGTTTTTATATTTAAGTCTTATATATTGAAACTATACAATGAGAAAAGAGTAGGGAATAGGGAAATAGTAAAATCTGTAACATTCTATCTACTAGCAAACAAAAAACTCTTATTTTAGAAATGATGACATCTACGAAACTAATTATTTAAAAAGATGATGAGTTTTCACAGACAATTAGAATGTCATCAAAGTGTGGGCTTTCCCAGTCAAGCAAGAAATAAAATGCTGTATTATGGGGAAATATATATATATTCTGGGTTTTTTTTTTCTATTATAAGACTCAAACAAAAGTATCCTTATATACTATTCTGGATAAAAACTACACAGAGATTTTTTAAAGCAAACATGTGTGTCAAGCAACTGGAACAGTGTAATTGTATTTCTCATCTGCACTCACTCATCCGGTGTTTACTACTTACAAAGCACAACACAGAGGCTGCTAAGGCAGGGCTTTGACAGCAGATGCCAGAATCCTAGCAGCCCAGGATGAGCATGCATATAGGTCTTCAAGGACAAACGGAAACCAGGTTTGTTTCCTCAAGTCTGTTCTCCACATTAAAAGTTCTCCAGGCAGTGCTGGAATTTGAAGCATTTGTAATTTGTATTGTCTGCCCAGCAGGGACCACCACAGGCATTTGATGGAGGCGTCACTGACCATTCAACACAATCAGGATTACAGCAGAGTTATGACAAACCGGAACTAAAATCATATTCTCCGGGGCCTTATCTTCCTTATAAGACATACTGTGACATTTAACTGGTTAAAGCCTTCATGTTAAATCAGAGGACCTAGTCAATGAATTAAACATTTATTGATAATATTCATGGCCACAAGAGACTAGTTTATATACTTTATAATTTTTAAACCAATTTAAAAATCCTCTAAAATAACCAATGCTTTTCTAAACTGATTCCCAAATAAATAAACTCTCTTAAATGTAGCTACTCAAAAATTTAATTTCAAGTTTGTGTTTTAGAGGTTTTCTCTAGTTCTTTAGGTTCCTCATGAGTTTTGGTGACTCAAGGTAATTTGTGCCTTTCCCTTTTCATATCACAATTAAATCATTAGCATATTACTTCAAAGGATTTTTTAAAACATCAGTGTAGCAATGTGGTAGTTTACATAAAACCATTTATAAGAAGTGTCCCCTAATATTTTAGTAATTAAAAGATTTTACACCAAAACCTAGGTATCGCATCACAGTGTGCCCGAGAATAACAGCCCCTAAGTTAGCATGGAAAGGTACACAGCAGATGTTTAATAAATGTGAGTTTAATTATATTGATTATTATCACACAGAATAACATTTAAAGGTGATAGGTACTTTTCCAAACTTTCTATCAGAGAAAACAATTATCTTCCAACAATAGTATCTGCAAGATGAAAACACCTTAAAATCAGTGCTGAAAAATTTTAAATCAAATATATCATGTTGCTATTCCTCTAGCGAGACAAGAAGAAAACTGCTTGTGAATGAAACTGTAAATAAGTTACTCATTACTCATAAATGTATATCACATTTACTGTGAGGAACTATAGTCTTCTATTTGGGGCAAAGATACAAAAACCAACCTTATCCACTAAAGCTCTAGCTATCAACAATAGACCTCTTGTGCCTCAGTTTTCTTACCTAAAATAAGAACATGTTCTTTAATAAATTAAAAACATCTAAAGATGGTTATGCAAAACTACTTGCTTGTTGCAATGAATATTCTAACACAAACAGCTTTGTCAGATGCCAGTCAACTCTCAGCTGCTTTCATCTACAAGACTTGGTTTATAATTGTTGATCTTAACATTCCCATGAGAGCACACTTCCTAAATCATACTGTAATTCTAATTATTAGCCTAATTTTCCAGCAAATAAATAGGTTATGTTCTTACATTATGAATAGTAACATTTCACAAATTATTATAAAATATTAATAATGACAAAAATTAAAATGAACAGTAAAAGTAAGAAACACAAAGTTTTAAATTGCTACACAATTAAACTAAATCTGTCTATAAATATAAAGAATGAGGGATTTCAATAGTTCATTTTCTGAACTTAAATGAACTCATTGGATATTTGCCTTGTTATATATAATGGAACTTTTCTTCCCATTCTCATACACACAGACTAATAATAACATCAACTTTGATTGATGATTACTTGGCCCTAAAGTTTACTCTTTTAGTTCAAAATATTCCAACTACATGTGTTTGAAAATGTCTAAATGGCATAATACTAAAATAAAGTTACAATACTTTTATACACAAGCTACAAAAGAGTTTCAATGTGTTACTGTCTTCAAAGGGTTTTCTGTGAAATAATATCCTTAAAATCACTGCCAATAAAACATTTAGGTTTTATTTTGTTTTGATGATCCAAATCTATAGTGAAATGATGAAATCAAAAAACAAGTGTTCTTGTCAGAAAACAGGAAGAAAGGTGTTTTTTTTTTCCTCCCAAAAGGAAAACAAAGGATTCCTGAAGCTTGCCCTGATTTATTTTTCCAATTTTAAATACCTTAAGAGCAGCGGAAGTGCTACTGGCGTGGTAGTATTTCTAACAGTCAATAAATCTAAAATATTATGTGTGAATATTGGAATGAAGCCATTAAGAAGATTACAGCATGCAACGCACCAGAGGGTCCACAGGAAAAAAGAGCTAGTAATTCAGGACAACTGTGACCACTGACCTTTGGGCAGCCGCGGCCACTGGTCAATGTGACATGGTAATAGAGTGCACATGCACACACCGGCACCCAGCCTGTAAGCATAATTTAAACGCTTTGGTGGATGCTTTTAAAAGGCCTCCTTTTAAATCTCAGTTAACTTACTAACTAATCAAACAATGCCAATAGTAATACCTTTCAGGCTTCAAAAATATTAATGTAAATCACACATAAAAATTCAATTATCATTCAGGATTTTATCAGATCTTATTTAAAACATTTGCCAGATTAAACTGTGTAGAGCTCTAAAGGACAGCCTTAAAAAACTGATGAAAATGAGAACTTTGTTAGAGATGAGTTGAACAACCGCCTAAAATACTTTAGAAAATCACCACAACTTTAAAAGAGCTCCTGTTTTCACCAAACGGCTCCTGCTCTATCTCGGGGCTTTTCCTGGCCGAGTCTTCAGCTGTGGCCAGTCTGGGGCCTTCAAATTGCAGCACCTTTGCAATCCGTGGTGCTAGCTGGCCACGCTCCTTCTCCTACACGCTCACAATGGTAGTTAGCGTAATGTGGTGCTAACCAAGCGGCACACTGACTCTTCTGTACCCGCCTGCAGTTGTATCTGTACATCGGTGAGTGCTGCTTAGCATCCCTATACATTTAAATCAATATCTTAATTATAAAACAAATCTACAAGACAAGTACTCCTCAGTTAAAAGCGATTCCCACTACAATGAGACTTCAAAGGCTCTCTTCTCAAGGAAGGAGCTCAGTGCGACTATACAGATTTTAATATCATGTAGAGAAAGGCTGAGTTTCTCTTTCTTTTTAGTAAACAACCCTTTCTCCTGAAGTACAACATTAGAAAATGTGCATATCATAAGAATAATGTTTGAAAAGCTGGAATTCTATATTCATAAGTATTTCTCTACCCAGTGAAAAATTCTTGGATGCATTTCTAAACGCAGAGCGTATCCCTGCTAGCAGTCGCTGCAGATTTCACAACGAAGCATCTGGCCACATTAAGCTGAGAAGAGACTATCAGTGTCCACTGGTCTGAGTTTGGACGGTTCACACACAACAATTTGACTGCAGTGAAAACAGTTCAGTTTAATGAGCTTAAAGGTCGGGCAATGGACTGGTTATTGATAAGCATAAGTACTCTGGCTTTGACATAAAACTCCCATTTTCCTGTCATTAGCCATAAGAACAATCTAGGCTAGTAATGATGTATTTTTTAAATTGGAAATTTTTAAATTCACCCTCTCAAAGTCCTTAATAATAGAGAAAATTATATTGCAAAGTTTACTTTCAATTCTCAAATTTTAATAATGTTGAGAAGAATGGATACTTTGAGGGTGCTTTTTAAAAGAAGGGAGCTATTTTAAAGTTATAACTATGTTATAAAGACATTTAAATAGCCATTAAATATGTACAGAAATAGCACTAGTTTATAATTTTGCCCTATATTAAAGAACACAAAAGCCCCAAATTGCAAATTTACATAGATTATTTAATATTAAATACATAATACATGCCACTAAGAGCTGCGCCCACGCGTGCGCGCACACACACACACACACACACACACACACACACACACACACACCCTCCACAAGATCAAAGACCCGAAGAGGACTGGCACTTAATTTATCAGCTTTACAGACAAAAGACAGTTTTTGTCATTTCAAAAGGATCAGATGTCTTTTATGACAAACTGGGTTTGCAGTTTAATTTACAAATAGAATTCTAAGTAAGCATTCTTTGCTCTGCCAAAACAGATGACAAACTGTAGGTTTTCATTCTTGTGGCCCTCAGCAGGACAGGAAAGATTAAAATAAAACTGAAATAATTTAGAGAAAACAAATAAATGTTTCAGAAAGTTGGGAGAGATCAAAGCCAGAATTTTCTGACCCCAACTGTACAAGCATTTCTTATTATATTGACCAGTGCCATCAGATCATTAATTAAAAGGAAAAGCGCTGGCAGGTGGCAGGGAAGCAAAAGCCGATAATTGGCCCCTTCTTCTTCTTGCCTTCAAAAACTCTCTCATTCTTTTGCAAGACATGCCACCAGGCAGACAGAATGCCTACTTTGTAATACAATGATTAAGACGAGATGAAGGGACTCGATGTTTAAAGAAACTCTGCGTAATGAATGCATCTAGCTTTTTAATTATGATCCCATTTTTACAATAAGGAATATGGTATTCCATTTAAAATCTCAACTGCCAAAAGGTAAAGTATTAAAAATAGAATCTACATCAATTCTTCTTAAAACCCTTGCATATACTGACTTTAAAGGTTCAGATACAAAGTGGAAAACAGGCGCTTGAGAGTCCAGCAACACACATTCTTGTTCCCCACAGATATCCCTTGACTTACCACATCACTGGGGAGGTTGCTCAAGTCATTAAATGGTGATTCTAACGTGTTTGTGTCCACATTTAACACAACCACATCTTCCAATGATTTATTTTTCACTCTCTGTTTAAAAAACACAATTATGAAAAAAAAATCTTATTATATTTTTCTTACAAGTTTATGATGAGTTTGGAAACAAAAAAGCTATCTTAGTGCATTAAGCTTGGGAAAATTAAAGAGGGAAATTCAATATTATTAAACAATGTAAACAACTTTACTTTCTGAAAAAGGAAAGGTGACTATAATTGATTTTAAAAGATTTGATTAAAATACTTAAAACAGAAAATATCCTCATCTAATGTCACATTAAAATAACTGCCAACAATTTAGCACAATACTGGGCAGAGGTCCATCAAGATATAAAAAACAGTAGCCTTTATCATCTGAATGTCAACTTTATGATACAGGGATTTGTTTCCCATTTCAAACCCACTGTAGCATAAATACACTGGAGAGAGTATGGAAACGACTAACAATGACTGCAGTCCTAAACTACATTTCAAGTGAGTATGTTCCTGTGTGGCCACGCCAGTGTGCAGCCATGAGTAGGACTGAAAGGGAAAGGAGAAGACAATGGAGAGACTTGCCAATTATGTCCTCACATGAATTTTTATGTAAGGAGTAAAACTTATAATCTCAGCACTAGGGAGGCAGAGGCAGGCAGAGCTCTGGGTTCAAGGCTAGCCTGGTCTAGATAATGAGTTCCAAGACAGGCAGGGATACACAGAGAAAACCTGTCATGAAAAAAATAAAATAAAATTTAACAGTTCATCAGAATGACTTATCTGTCCATGTTGTGAAAATTTAGTGAAATGGTATCTCAATGGGTTTACAAATAATAGTAAGTTATAAAAACCTTATCAAAGTTATGTCTAAAAGGGTATAGTTTTATTTTCTGTTTCACACATCTACTTAAATTACTGAATTCTATGTGGAAACATGCCTCAGGTGTAAGTGACGTACTCCAGTAATGAAATGCAGCCACAAAATCCAGACTTCCACATTCATACAGGCCAATGGGCGAAAGGCAATAATTTCAGTACAGCACTTTTAGTTAGGGGCATCGTTATAATTCTTTTTTCTCAGCCGAGGGAGGTTTCTCTATGTAGCCCTGGCTGTCCTGGAACACTATGTAGGCCAAACCAATCTTGAACTCACAGAGATCCTCCTGCCTCTTCCTCCCAAATGCTGTAATTAAAAGCAAGCTCCACTGGCTAAATACTTGAATTTTAAAGTAGTTTAACCAATTATTTTGTTACAAGTTGATTCTGATTAAAGTGACTGATCCATTTTGGATTTCAACTCTTGAGTATTTAGTTAAATGTTAAATTTCCTACAGAAATGACAAGTGGGAATGAGGAATCTCTATGTGTTTAGAAATCCACAATCTAGGCTATATATTCTCAGGGGACACTGGTTCTAAAATCTGTCTTGTAAAAGACATTACAATTACTAAAAACTCAGAATTAAAAGATGGCTACCTCTAAGTTATCAAGAAATAATTTCTGGTGATGTAACTGACATTCTATAGAAATATTAGAAACACACTGATTTCCTTTCCTTTTCATGTGTACACATGTTTAAAAGGTTTAGATGCATAACTATATCATTATGTATATTAACTATAATTTTAATAACAAATTATAAGTGAAATATATAATGCCATTTGTTTAGGAAAAGAATGTCATAATATGATGACCATTTCACTTTCTGTGGTGTTCTCATACCAGAGAAACTGATATAATCCAGAAGACTAAATCTATTTTTTTCCAATGGGAATTGAGTTTGTTCAAACATTTAAAGATAAGGACTATGTGCTAGCAAAATGTTTATGATAACATTAGTACGGTCTGATTAATGGTAGTAATGTGATTTGTAGACTTTTTCAATTGCTTTTCTTTTTAAGGCAAATAATAACTGAATATTAAATTTTGTTCAATGGCCTACTCACTAAAAGTAAAAAAATAAAAATCTGTTCATTACTAATAAATAAATTGAAACCCTAATGTTAGAATAAATATATGTAAGCAAAGGGGGGGTAGGTTACAATTTAATTATATGAAAATACTGAAACTAGTACTATTTTTCTCTCCAAATCAAGTGTTAGCTGTGTCTACTCTACCTAGGCATGTGAGTCAGCAATGGAACCTCTTCCTCGGTCTCATATTGTTATAGCTCATATGTTCATGGGGTGCAATTTAAAAGAAAACATGAAAATAAAAATGTTTTTCCAGAAAAGTGAGAAGATAATGCTGGACACGTGATGCTGAGTGTGCGAGTCTCTCCCAGGCCTGTGGAATTAACCCTTGTGCACACTGGGGCTATGTACATTATACACACTAATGTACTGGAATGGCACAGGGCAGCAGCACAGGACCTTAGCACAGGGGACGGACATTCTTCAACACACAGTCCTGGACAGATGACAACAAACAAGGCCACCCTCGGGTCTGCGGCTTCCAAGTTACTCAAGTGCTTAGTCCGCACTTAACTTCACTAGAAGTCTGCTTTTCAGGGAAAATAAAATCTGTTTCCCTTACTTTAGAAATAAACTTCTACTTTGAAAAGATACTTTTTCACCATTCTTTAGTCACAATTATGTAAAACCACGTGGAAAGGTTCAAAGAACATTAATTTCATGCTTTAGAACTTGGAGGTTTTTACACAATTAATAATATTAGCTGAGGGGGGCTGGAGAGATGGCTCAGAGGTTAAGAGCACAGACTGTTCTTCCAGAGGTCCTGAGTTCAATTCCCAGCAACCACATGGTGGCTCACAACCATCTGTAATGAGATCTGGTGCCCTCTTCTGGCCTGCAGGGACACATGCAGGTAGAACATTGTATGCATAATAAATAAATAAATCTTAAAAAAAAAAAATCATTTAAAAAAAAAAATAAAAATAATATTAGCTGAGACTATTATGAACAAAAAGACGACAGTACTTTTTCATTTTCCTCCAAAATTAGCTGCAATTGCTAAAAGTTACAGTGCTGTCTCTCATACTAACTGCATGAATACCTAAATTCCATTTAAGACATACATATTATAAAATAAAAGCAAAAAGATAAAAATTTAATTGAAAACTCTTTGATAGTGACACACTGAAGAATGAGCTATCATCTTACTATAGTTTAAGGAAGTATCAAGTGATATGCACACTATTTAAAGGACATCAAATGCACCTCTCCCTCCCTGTCAACATGCTGAGGGCAGGCTAATAAACAAGATAAGCACAGCACTGAAGGCGTGGAAACTTCCCACAATCCAATTACCACTCCAAATGTCCCACTTCATAGAAGGAACCGACTCAAAGTTACAATGGTCTTTTTCTTCAAAATACTATTTTCCAAAAAGGAAAAAATCCATTTCAGGAAAAGACAGAGGGAAAAAATAATTTAATTATAAATTTTCAAAGAATTTTTTTTCATTTAAAGTTCCTTTGTAAGCGGCCAATAAGAATGTGATAAATTAAATGAAATAGCTAGTGTGCTTCCTCATCCATCCTAATTTGGAAAAGTCTAATTTATTTGTCTTAAAGAGTGCTGTAGAGCCATTCCACACACCCAAAATTAACAGGAGACCACGAGGCACTCCCTCCAACTTTAAATTATTTTCATCTATATAAGTAAACACATTATAAAATTCTGGGTGCTACTTTTAGTATACATTTAGTGTGGAAATGATGAAAATCAAACTTGGTTACTTTTAAGACAAAAAAATGCAAGCAACTAATTTCATAAAAGTCAAACTAGTGAAATTCAGGTTATATCCTACCTGATGACATATGTACATATCTATCTGCTCATGCCTTATTTCATACACTGCATTCTTGGCTTATAATAGTTCCTTAAAATTAATAAAATATAAGGAGTCACAAATTTATCCCACTCAAGACTTCAATATTAAAAATGTGTTAAACCTAATAAAATGCATTAAAATCTATACTTCAGTAATAGTGGAACAAAAGAATTATTGCCCTAGCATTTTCCAAAAAGAAAAAATAAAAAAAGCCCCAAACTTGAGACTAAGTAGAATTCTCTAATCAAAGCTTTCTCGTGGATAGGGCTCTATCTTAGTAAGAATCTTCTCTGACCAAAGAAAAGACTAGTGTTGGCAACTAGCAGGAAAACCACACCCAGTACATCAGTGTGTCCATTAGCAACGGTGTTACATTATTCATGTTACTCTGTGCAATCAGCAAAGACAATGTGTTTCAATGAAACTGACATCAGCAAGCATGATGCCACTCAGATGACGCAAATCTTGTGTTTTAGCCTTTTGGTAATTTATATGCCCTTTTCTTTCTCTCTCTCTCTTTCTCTCTCTCTCTCTTTCTTTCCTTTTCTTGCTTTTTTTTTTTTTTTTTTTTTTTTTTTTTTTTTTTTTTTTTTTTTAGTTTTGGTTTTGGTTTTTTCTTTTTTGAGACAGGGTTTCTCTGTGTAGCCGTGGCTCTTCTGGAACTTGCTTTGTAGACCAGGCTGGCCTCCAACTCATGACTATTGACCTGCCTCTGCCTTCTGAATGTTGGGATTAAAGTTGTGTGCCACCACACACACATGCCAATCTTACAAGAAGGGCTTTCTGGAAATTTCATTGACTGTAAACCCAAGTATTTAAAGTTTAATGAGTTTCAGGATAGGGATAAAGTAAGCAACAAAAATCATTTTGAAATGAGATAACAATAGAAAGAGAAAAAAAATACTAAATTCATCTCTGACAGGAGGACGGAAACTCTGAACTTGGAAACGTATATGCCTGGTCTTCTCTTTAGTTCTGCCTGGCACAGAAGCCCCTGTGCACAACAGGCTGACCTGCACTGTGGGAATCCTTTCTCAGCCCCTTAAGGACTAGCACCACAGGAATGAGCCACCACATACTGGTTAATAAGTTTATCATTAGTATGCTAAACTCACACTTTGATAATCAACTGATAAACTGGAAATAATGAAGTTGTGTAAAGGAAAACTTTGACTTGGTGAATCATAAGAACATAAAATTTAATTTCAAAATATTGTACTAAATATGAGATACAGAAAACCTTGAGTTGCAAGAAATCAGTGGTTCATCAAGGAACAACGATTTTATTATTTGAAACTGACCACATGACTTCAAACACAACCATTTCCATAGGTTTCATGCCATCACTGGACAAACCAGTATATTGCATAAACTGAAGTGATTTCAGTGACACTGTCTTAAAACGACCCTTAAGTATATCCATGTCAATCTAGTACATCTTAGTATTAGTCAAATAAGCTTCAAATAAAACTTTTATCTATTATTTCTAATTAATTAGTTTCATAACTATCTTACTGAGAAAGATACTCACCTCTATGAGACTGGAGTGTATTCCAATCAGGTATGGCATTGGGGCACTAAATTAAAAATATATATGTATGTATAGATTCATATTGTTCATTAAAACTGAAACAACATAAAAGCAATTCAAATGCTTAAAAACTAACTTCAAGTGCTCAGTTCCACCCATGTTACAGATACTGAAAATTACTCAATGTATAAAAGTTACATTTCATCTTATAGGCCACTACTATTTAAAGTTTGTTTACATAAAAATCTCTAAGTCATTTATTATTAAATCAAAAGCTCTATGCCTAAATAACATGTTTTACTTATAAAGACTATCAAGGTGTAGGTCACATTGGATCTTTTCTATATACTTGATAGCAAATATAGTTTAAATACTCTTCAAATGTATCCACATTTCTTTTATACATATTCTTGTTCAGTTTGATTACTTCTGTTATTGTAATGGATCATCGCTGTTTCATAACTGATATGTCACTCAATATCTACTATGTCAGTCTACCACTAAGGCACCACATATTTATCTCATCCTGTTTTCACTGTTCTAGAACCAGTGACATCAGCATAGTAAGTCCCCTCTGTGCTCCTGCACTCCTACACTTTCAGATTCATTTTACTTTTATCCTTAGTAGTGTAATAATATTTTTTTCCGAGACAGGGTCTCTCTATGTAGTCCTGGCTGTCCTCAAACTCACAGAGATCTGTCTGCTTCTGCCTCCTGAGTGCTGGGGTTAAAGGTGTGCATGACCACTGTCTGGCTACTAATATGAGAATCTTAATAAAAAAAATTTCATGTCTAAGAATGGTTTTGAATTAATTATTTCAGGCTATGATTTTGGGAGCATACCAGATCCAGGCCCTTGGGTAGAAACTTAAACAAGGTGATAAACAATGTAGATGGGATATATTTCCTCCTGGATCTTGTACTCCAGCAGAAAATAAAGATACTAAATCATTTTAGTATATGACATATGAATCAGGAAAATGTTAGAAATAATTGTTAGGAAATACAAGAAGAAAAGTAGTCACCTTGAAATTTTGAAACTAAATTATCAACAAAAAATAAAGACAGACAGACATCTATGAAAATGATAAATAAATGAGAACACGTAGCTATTTTTTAAAATACGCATTTTGGGGAATCCTTCTATAGACATCTCTGACCTTTAACACCAACCTTTCCTGCTCATGCAAATCTTGCTGCTCAAAGGCTTATATAATGTTCTCAACAGCACTGTCATTATACAGAACTGCTCAGGCTCTGTGATGTGCACGCCACTGCAGAGTAGGAGTGATAGCTGACTCTAACAGATACCCCAGCCGGTCCAGATGTCTCAAATCATCTTAGAAAGGTCCAAGTTTAGTCAGTTAAGGCTGACTAAAAATAACTTTTATATCTAGAATCCCAGAAACTATAAATTAGGTTCTTTCTCATTACTATGTACATGCAGTACATGCAGTATTTCATTATGACTGTATTAATTCTCCTTCACAGTTGTCTTAGCTTATTGTAGCCTTGTTCCTTCACAGTCTTTTAAAAAGTCTACACAACTGACCATCTGGATAGAGTTGGTGTGGTATTCTGTAAACTTCACTTGACTATTCCATGCCTTGATCTCCTTAGGAACTAACAGATTCTCTACCTTTAAAGGAAACAAACAAATGTGGACTGTCGCCCTTTTGCTGGCAGAAGGGAAAGCTGGCTGTTGCCCTAGTTCAAGCTCTTGTGCCTGGGTTCCCTCTACAACTCCCCAGGAGACATAAAATGCAGATCACTATCCAGGGCTCCAGGCGCAGCTTTGGACAACTGTCAAAAACAAGCTGGCCAACTCCCAGTGTCTTTCATATGCCACACCCACCAAACATGAAAGGTATAGCACAGCAATCTCAAAATCACTATGGGAACCTCTAGATCCCCTGAGGTTTAGAATATTTTAGCAGTGATGTTGACAATACAAAAAGTTCATAGTATCTTAAACTCCAAAGAATATTTTAGTAAGAGTCCTAATCAAAATACTCAAGCCTTGTAAACCTAAGAAGTATATCCATCTTCCAAACAAGGCTAGCATTTCAAAAAGCAAAAGTCTAAGCTAACCAATAATCCTAGGAAATACATCCAAAAAAATCCTTTGAAATGTTTCTGAAAGCTACTTGCTTTCTGAGATACAAATAATATGCTCATATAAATTAAGTTAGAATTAAAATTATATTGTAGCAGGCTTCTATGACAAATTTAACAATTACCAACTCAAAACTCTTCAATGTGATCACAGAAAAATGCTGTATAGTTTATTTTTTCTCACTAATTTGTAGCAAATTCATAAACTTACCGATGTTTGAATTAAAAACACCAGAGTATAATTTTCTAAAATCATTATGATATTTGACAGAATACAGTGTTTATAGAGTCAAAAGAGTGGGTGTTTCTTTCCCAGTGGACTGTCATATACTACTGTGACAACAGACAGCTCTCCTGGAAAGTCACTCTGAATCCCAGCTGGACCGCCCATCCTACTTTGATGAGGGTGTTGGTACATCAGGAAGAAATCAATGGTGATGCGGATGCTCCATTATCCACACATAAGGCTGTCTTTAAGCTCTACTGTCTGTGATATTATTTAGAAAAGACAGTACAGACGGCTCTAAACTATTTCTTCTTTGTGGTGGCATCTTTATGCAGAATCACTTTTTTTTCTCCTTCCAAAGCTACTTAAAAAGAAGCTTCCCTGCCACATACTATTGCAGCCATCAGGGTAGTCTGAAAGAATGTAATTTTTTACTTAATTTTTTTCTTAGAATCTAAATCGTATAGTTGCAAAGAAATCATCTAGAAAATCCAACTATATGACTTACTTAAGCACTGCTTGAGCAGATAATAATCTATGATAATCTTGGTGGTCTTATAGCCACACTTCCTTAAATGTACGTATGAATTCAGACAGTTTTGAAGTGTCTGACAATAGATGTGCCATACTGGAGTACTGTTACTTTGCTTGACTGAGAGGAAAACACAGATGACATCACTTCCTCCTAGCAGCTTTCCTGAACTTAGCAAGAATGTGCTGTCCACATATTGCTTAAGTTGCCACCCATGTGTCCTTGAGTGACTTTGCTATAGCAATTACAGTGATACAGGATTGTTCTATACTTGTAGGTGTGCATGGAGGTGTGCAGAGAGCTATGTATATGTGTTTATTTCTTCCAGTAAATAAACAAGTAAAAAAGCTTATTTATTGCATTACATGTTCACAGCTTGCCAAATATGCAGTCACTAAATGATGGAGGGCTGAGCGGGTTGGTTAATGTATGGATGGATGGGTGGATGGACCAACCAACAATGTAATAAGAGTGTCAAAGGACCAAGATGTGATATTCATCTATGGTCACAAGAGGGCATTATGGTTCTCCAAAGTCTATGGCACATCACCAACACCAGGTGCAAACACAGAAATGTTTTATGGATCCAGGGCTATTTCAGGATTTGCAACATCCCAATCATTCTGAAAAGTAAACCAACATACATGTAATCCTCAAAAAATGTGGCCCATTTGGAACTTGATGTAAATTTTTTTCAATGATTTTGAGACTGAGGGGATAATTTACATTTTTCTTCCTATCAGTATGGTCCTAATATTAAGGATATAAATGGAGGAGAATCATTTTCCCTAGGAAACTGCTTAATCTATCACACTTTCTGATAATAGAAGGAAACATAGATGGATAGATAGATCCTTTAACAAAAGCTGAGCCCATCATATGACTTTAAGGCTCAGAAAGTTTTCAAATAACTCCTTGTTTGGACACTACTGCTCACTCTGAACCAGGGAATACCTGCATGGAGGCTGCTGGAACTTGTCCGAAGGACTACTTCCGGCATTAGAAGAAGTAAGCAGTGAGAAAGACCAGGGGGAGGAGGGGGAGCTTCTCTAGAGTGGAGGCAGCAGTGAAGAGTGGACAGCAGGGACAGAACCAGGAAACCAGCTCTGGAAAGAATCTGTGTATCACTGACACTTTAAAATGCAATACTAATCCTATAATTAGTTCTCAAAATGACTACGATTGTATATGACTTTTAGAAAAGAGAACTTTAAAATAAATGTCTAGTTACAGATGCTGTACACACAAAAAAAAAAATCTACTGCCTGCGCCAACATAAGCAAACTGCATTCTCTGCCTTTAAGGAAGAAAACTATTTTAATTGTGTTGGTCAAAAGGAAAACTCTAAGATGAATAACAAAAAAAAAAAATAAAATAAAATAAATAAAACTTACTTACTTACTGATCTGGCTTTATACTTAGATTTGTACATGTTACACTTCACAATATAATTAAATTACATCCTGTAGTCTACAAAACTGTTTTTCCTTTCAATGCTCTCCAAGGACAGCACAGCAGTGGTGAGTCCCTGACTACCTACTTCACTGATGAGCAATACTGTTACGCCACTATGGAAGCGCACAAGGCAGCAGTGTAATTAATCTGGACACTGTTCTGAAGGAGGCTAGCCACCCACCATCCTTCTGAAGAAACATCGTGTGTTTAAATAAACACAATCCTTAAAAAACTTTAACGTCTTTCATGAAAATTTTAAGTAAATATATTAATTCCAAAAGACTTTGATTTTTACTAATACTAGCTTTGATATAAGAAAATTATCAATGCCAAATGATTTCTGTGTGTTTTTCTCCCTCTCCTTCTCCC